TTTTACATTAAATCAGGAATATCTGAGTGGTAAAGCTTTGAAGGCAATGAATGTACTTCTTTGTAAATTGAAAGAATTTGACCTTTCTCCCAGAACATTATGTCAGTTATTTGACTCATTTGTTTCATCGATATTAAATTATTCATGTGAAATCTGGGGATATACTAAGTCTAAAGAGCTAGAAAGAATACATTTAAAATTTTGTAAATGGTTATTAAGAGTTCAACCTAACACCTGTAATGCTAGTGTATACGGCGAGCTGGGAAGATATCCCTTATATATTCATAGGTTTGTAAGGATAATAAAATACTGGTTAAAAATTGTAGAAACTGATAACATAATCCTTAAGACAGTATATAATCAAGCTTTAGATGATAGAAACAATGGTCATAAAAACTGGGTTTCAAATGTAAAAAGGCTTTTGAATGATTATGGATTTTCATATGTATTTGATAATGTTCATATTACTGACAAAAAAATATTTTTATTTGAATTTAGAAGTCGCGTTATTGATTCTTTTAAACAGGAATGGTATGCTACCTTAGATAATAGTTCTGTATTCATTTGTATATGTACAAAAATGTTAAATGTAGTTTTGAGTATGAACTTTATTTGGATATCTTACCAAGATGTTTTAGATTTTACTTCTGTAGATTAAGAATGAGTACTTTGTCTTTGAGAATACAAACTGGCAGATATTCTAGAAATAGAATTGTTAGAGAGGAAAGATATTGTTTATGTTGTTATGCCTCAGACATTGAAGATGAATTTCATTTTGTTTGTATATGTCGTTGTTATACAGAGTTAAGAAAAAAATATTTGAAAATTAAATATACCAGAAACCCATCAGTTTATAAATTTTTACAATTATTGAACTCAAATAGTAAATATGAATAAATCAGTTATCCAAATTTGTTAAAGAAGCACTTGCTTTGAGAAACACACTGTTAAATGTTGAGCGTTAAACATCATTATTGCTCATTCTCCTGTTTGTATGTCTTTACTTTTTTAATTTATAGTATACATATTTATTATTTCATTTTCTTGTTACTAGATAAATTAAGATTAAGAATTTTGAAAATGTCATGATTGCTATTACCATTATATTGACGTTATGCTTGTAAATATATAGATGATGTACAATGTACAAATCTTAATAAAGTATCTGTTCTGTTCTGTTCTTATACTTTAATTACTTTAGCTTGGCTGTTTCCATCAAAAACTAATAAAGTCGATTTTTTGTTTATATATTGAGTTGTATTTTATCATTCTCACGTTACATTTATTTGTTAATACGAATATACGGATATATAAATGGAGTCGTTGTACGACTAACTGCATGTCTCAAACGGTGTTGCGCTGACTTTGTTTCAAAGATGTTAAAAAAAGTCATTAAGGGGTTTTAAAACATTGCAGTTGCTGTAATAGGCGCCTACAACAAAGTCAACTTAATAGGCATGTTACTGTAGGCTCCATATTATTTTAGACGTTATTATGCCGAAAAATGTCACGGTGCATTCTAACGTCTATTTTGTGCCGGGTTTAGGCGATATGATTTCATTCACCAACTAATGACTGAAATATTCTTCATTTCTAAATGAAATTGTTTCTGACGAGGTAGTTCCTTGAAATTGCAATTAAATGGTACCAAAATTATTTTTAATTGGCACGTATACCAAAATTACCATATCTTGGAGGTTTCTTAAGCTGTACAACAAGATGCAGAAGAAATTGTCGTTCAGCAAATGAAAATCGATCTTAAACAAAAATCACGTACAGGGCTCTGATGACTTTACTTTATTTCTGTTTCAAGCACTAAAACTTTTTTGATTTAATGAAAGTCTTGAATGTTTTTGCAAAATATCAAAAATTGAATGATATGCATGCAGTATTTTTTCTCCACATAGACATATAGACTTTATGAACATGGCAAACAACTAGCGCCAAATTATGTAGAAAGGAAAATCACAGACTTTTAAAAGTGCTTTCACAACGAATCTGGCTATAGAATTTTGGACCCAAAATTACAAAAAGAGTATAATCAGAAGAATAAAAACGCCCTGACCAACGCATATCCTGTGTGGTGCTCTTGCAACCTTGATTCTGTGACAGCAACCAAGTGACTTATATTGAGGGTGTGTTTGAAAGTTTTTCACTTCCTCAATAAAACAATGAATCGGAATAGGTAACAGTGAAGTCCTGAAATGATGGCTTCTTTTTTAAACAATCTAACCGTTCCTACTGGAATATAGAGCGTCTTATAGTTTGCCAACTCAAAGTTCCTCATATCGTTGTAAAGGTCAGCCTTGTTTATAAATTTTTCTTCCCAGTGTTTTTTTTTTAAACGAAATCGGGTCATAAGTAAGATGACATTGGATTGCTCGGTTTGAGTTTGTTTCCGAAAAAAAAGAAAAACGACAACAACAACAACAACACACTCACACACAACAAAACAACCATGTCGAGCGAAAATCTCCCGGACATTTTGCTTGGGTTCGGGCATTGCGTATTATATTGCTATAAATAAGACCTTCCAATTATAAATGTAAAAAAAGAACTTTAATGAAAGGATTTATGCAGATTAAACAGCGTACATTGCCAATGACCCATTTGATTTATGACAACAACATGCACTAAACAGTTAAACATTTATTTCAAGTACAAAACCACTAATAACCTGACTCCCCTCGCTAATATACCTGAATCCGTAGAGGGCAACAATTTATAATTGAATACAGTGTATCCGAATCTATCAGTGTATCTATTTTTAAAAAGAAATGTAATCAGTGCTGAATTATTTTGATTTGCGCGTAAGAGTAGCTTCCCCGTACTGCAACTTCCTGACTTCGTTATCATTTTATCTACTTTATGGTTTTACAAAAAAAATACAGGTCATATAAAGTGTTTTAATCAAACATAAGCTTATAGCCTGAGTTGCGATATATAGATTTATATAACAAACAACTAGAAGTTTAAAAATATATATGACCAGACATTTTGTTCTATAGAGCATTAATAGTGTCCTTGAATAATGTTAAAATGATTTGCCTGAGTGTATAAAATAAAACATAGTTATATATTCTGTATACCAGTCCTTATTTAAACGGTAATCCATTTTAAGAGACATTAACAATCTGTATATAATATTTATATTTTTAATTAAACAAAGACTTAACATTATCACAGTATTCTTTTTTATATGATTTTTCTAATAAAATATCCTATTTTCGCTAAATTAGATCAACGTCTAGTCTAATATTTTTATTTTCTAAGTCCATTGAAACATTAATTAAAAACTATGCCTTTTTCAATACTGAAAAAGTGTTAAAAATATTAATGAGATCCCGCATATTAAATGATAATTTAAATTATTTTATTCTTTAATGACGTGTACACAATGCACACGGTCACAAAGTACATACTCTTACATACAAATAAAATAAAAACGTCACGTAATCAATAAAATTTTCATCATTTCATACTAAAGTGTTTTTCAATGACACAAATACATTGTTATGTTTTTTATCAAAATTTTATCTTTTTCTAGATGAACTAAGAAGTATTATTGTCGACAGATGAAGGTTGTAAACTTTGCTATATAGTGTTTATCCAAAGAAAACCCCGCATTAATACGAAACAAATGTAAAGTAAAGATTGATAATACCGCAATAAAGTTTTTAGAATAATTTAAAACTAAAATATATTCATTTATGCCACAAAATGTCATCGCAATTCACATTTATCAAAGGCAAAAACAAAACAAAAACAAAAATAAAAAAATAAAATTAAATTAAAAAAAAAAAACATGCACTAAAACATGATTAATCAACGAACTATTTTTATGATAACGAAAACCTCTATGCAAATTTTGTTTCAATTAGACTTAAAATCTGAAATCTTGTTTAAGGTTTAACATATTTTCTATTTTCTATATGACTCTAGTGAACAAATCGTTGCGTTGTATGTGCCCAGCTGTTCCGCCTTTAGTTTGTCTTTTATAGAAATTATATTTTCTTACTTAAGGCCTTTTTGAAGGTCATGACTATTATTAGTTTATAATATAATATTTGTGAATACTGGCAGTCTTCTGTGCCCTCGCATTATGCTTTGTTTATATTATTTATTTATTTTTATTTATTTATTTTTATTTTTTATTACTTTTTTTGCGCGCACGTACGTGCATGTTTCTTTTCTTACACAGTCATCTAAAATGTCGTAAATGACGGTGCACTTGGTAAAAGAGACAGTTAAATAGTAGAGATAGACAGGGGGTAAATAAGGTCACTCAATTTTATCTTACTGAACGTGAAAATTGTGAAAAAAAGATGTTATTTAAATTTATCATCCTGATGTATTGCATTCCCTTAACAACATCACCTCCAAATTACTTTACATAGACTAAAATCGACAAAAAACAAAAACTGTTTGGTTTTTTTTGTATAAGCCGTTGGTGCATGACGTCCGACTAACCGTTTATTTTATAACCCTCGTACAAATCCTCTGAACATTTAAATAAATTCACAGTAAATATCATCAATAAAATGTATACAATTGCTGTTGTATCAAATTTAAACGTATCTAACAAATATAACAACCCTGTCTGTAAATCTAAATTTCAAAAATTATATATAAAAAATATGGTGTGGTAAAATACCCAAGGCCGAATGGTAACAGCTAACCTCATGACTCGAAAAACGACACCTGTCGGGGTACATGCAACTAAGGGAAATTAATTTTCGTCTGTTTCACTTCATTCAGACACCGAACATTACATGTCTTATACAAACACAATAATATACATGCATTGTATTAAGTGTGTGTATGCTATATTTGCTGCTATCATGACAATACATTTTTGTTATATCACGTGATAAGATAAAGGCATTTTAAACCGTAGTTTATCAAGTATATAACAATATCAGATAAAAGTATTTTATCTTACACTGTTATTATATATTTGAAATATTGACCAACTTCCTACTGTTGTGAAACGTAATATATTGATATAATCTGTGTGGTTTCAATTAATTTAATAGTTACATATCAATAAATCGTGATGGCGTGGAAACAATTGACAATCGGTCTCTCTACGTTATGCTTTGTTAAAGAAATGCGTCCATCAGAACCATTTCTTTCATTATATTTAGAAGAAAATAAAAATTTCACATTTGAGGATATACGGCAGGAGATATACCCATGGTGGACGTATTCATCTCTTGTTTGGATCATACCAGTGTTCCTGCTTGCAGACTTTTTTCGGTACAAACCCGTCATAATCGTTATAAATGCAGCTGCAGTTGGCTCATGGGCTCTCTTGTTGTGGGCTGAGGGTGAAGTTGCGATGAGATTTGCACAGGTTTTAAACGGTATTTTTACAGCTGGCGAACTAGTTTATTATTTCTATATTTTTATAGAAATACCTAAAGAACATCTAAAGAAAGTTTCGCTCTATTTTCGAGCCTCGACTATTTGTGGTAAACTATTTTCGTTTGTAACCACGCAATGTCTTTATTCATTTTGTGTAGCAGACCTTTATGGTCTGAACTGGTCTTCATTTATAGGTGTATGTGGTGCATTGTTCATATCCTTTCTTTTACCATGGACTAAACACTCAGAGATATTTCACAGAGTGTCATATTCAATACCAAAAGGACCAACACCATCTGACACCGCTGAGGTGGAGACTGATGTATCTGATCTTAATGATTCTGGATATCAAGATTATATGGAAAAAGATAATCTCATGATCTCTGGAGATAAGTTACATCACAGTTCAAATGAACCTGGTTATAGATATAAACTTTTATATATGTGGACGGGGTTGAAGTACGTTTACAGAAACGAAGGAGTGTTCGTTTGGTCAATTTGGTGGGCACTGGCTACATGCGGAAACTTTCGGATATATTACTACGTCCAAAACTACTGGGGTTCGATCATTGGTGATGACACCGAATGTCATGACCTTATATACAATGGAGCTGTGGAGGCAATATCATCACTGTTTGGTAAATAATTAATTCTTTACTTGTGATATTGAGGTGAAAAGAAGATTTTGGTTGAAATTGTCATTGTGTATTGAGTTTCATTTTAATTTTATTCTGATAATTTTTATGCTCAGTAATTTACCAGAGTATGTTTGTATATAGATTTTTTTAATGAGTTTATTTAAGGTCGCCGCCGGAAAGCCCATATGGGCGTCGGGCCATCCTAGAGCGTCCCGCCGAGATTTTTCGTCGATTTTTCCCAGCTTTATTGGTGGAGGAAGACCCCAGGTGCCCCTTTGGGCATTGTTTCAGGCACGAGCGGGCACCTGGGTAGAACCACCGACCTTCCGTAAGCCATGAAAGATTTCGACGCAAGTGAGGATCGAACCTACAGCGGTGAGGGACCTGTGATCTCAAGTCAGGGACATTAACCACTCGGCCACGGAGGCCCCGTTGTATATAGATTATGATCATCCTTATATTTCTAGTACGCTTCAATGAAAAAGCACTCTTATGTCACATTTGAAATAGTGATTTCAGATTCTGCCATTTAGTTATAGAATGGAAATTTGGAATTTTGTACGTTTGTTTATTTTTTTTCTGTCTATCAATATATTTCTTTTATTCCCTGTTTATTTATTGTAATGTTTCATAATCGAATTATTGTAGACATCTGCTTAATATATCTTTTTTACTGAGTCGATTATGTTTGTTGTTTTTTTTTTCGTACGTCGACAATTTAAATAAGCATTTAATTATTACTTTAATATGGAGTTTATTGGTACGTTTTAGGTTTATGATCCTCTTTTTAGCTCACCTGAGCTTTTAGGATCGGTGAATGTCCGTCGTCCGTCGTACGTCCACAATTGCTTGTGAACACTCTAGCGGTCGCATTTTTGCCACAAACATCATCAAACTTGGTCAGGATGCTTATCTAGTTGAAAGCTCGGACGAGTTCGAACATGGCTCATCTCGGATGAAAAAACTAGGTCACAAGAGCTAAAAATAGAAAAACCTTGTGAACACTCTAGAGGTCACATTTTTGACCCAATCATCATCAAACTTGGTCAGGATGTTTGTCTAGGTGATAGCTCGGATGAGTTCGGTCATCTCGGATGAAAAAGTAGGTCACAGGAGCTATCAATAGAAAAACCTTGTGAACACTCTAGTGGTCACATTTTTGAACCAATCATCATCAAACTTGGTCAGAATGTTTGTCTAGTCAATTGCTGGGATGAGTTCGAATATGGGTCATCTCTGATGAAAAACTAGGTCACAGGAGCTAAAAATAGAAAAACCTTGTGAACACTCTAGTGGTCACATTTTTGACCCAATCATCAGCATACTTTGTCAGGATGCTTGTTTAGATAATAGCTCAGATGAGTTCGAATATGGGTCATCTCGGATGAAAAACTAGGTCACCGGAGCTATAAATAGAAAAACCTTGTTTACACTCTAGCGGTCACATTTTTGCATCAATCATCATCAAACTTGGTCAGGATGCTTACATTGTATCTATTTGATAGCTTGAATGAGTTCGAACATGGGTCATCTCGGATGAAAAAGTAGGTCACCGGAGCTAAAAATAGAAAAACCTTGTTAACACTCTAGCGGTCACATTTTTGCATCAGTCATCATCAAACTTGGTCAAGATGTTTGTCTAGGTGTTAACTCGTATGAGTTTGAACATGGGTCATCTCGGATGAAAAAGTTGGTCACCGGAGCTAAAAATAGAAAAACCTTGTTAACACTCTAGCGGTCACATTTTTGCATCAGTCATCATCAAACTTGATCAAGATGCTTGTCTAGGTGATAGCTCGGATGAGTTCGAACATGGGTCATCTCGGATGAAAAACTAGGTCACAGGAGCTAAAAATAGAAAAACCTTGTTAACACTCTAGTGGTCACAATTTTGACTCAATTGTCATCAAACTTGGTCAGGAAACTTGTCTAGGTCATTGCTGGGAATAAATTAAACATGGGACATCTCGGATGAAAAACTAGGTCACAGGAGCTAAAAATAGAAAAATCTTGTTAACACTCTAGTGGCTACTGTTGTGATCCAAATATTCTGTTAATTGGTCTGAAAGTTTGTTTTGATGATTTCTAAGTCAAGATCGAACATGGGTCATCTTGGATGAAAAACTAGGTCACACCGCCCAAATATGGAAAAACCTTGTTAACATTCTAGTGGTCACATTTTCGACTCAATTATCATCAAACTTCGTCAGGATGCTTGTCTAGGTAATTGCTTGGATGAGTTCGAAATCACATGTGAAACTAGGTCACCATAGCTAAAAATAGAAAAATCTTGTTAACACTCTAGTTGCTACTGTTTTGATCCAAGTATCCTGGAAATTGGTCTGAAAGTTTGTTTTGATGATTTAGAGGTAAGTTTGAATATGTGTCACCTGGGTAAAATACTAGGTCGCACTGCTCAAATATGGATAATCCTTGTTAACACTGTAGTGGTCACATTTTTGACTCACCTGTCATGAGACTTGGTCAGAATGCTTGTCTAGGTAATTGTTTGGATGAGTTTGATAAGTCAGGTGAGCGATCTAATGCCATCATGGCCCTCTGGTTTATATTTCAGGTACTATTGCCATTTTCCTAACTTTGTGCGCACCGGTTAAATGGTCGACGCGATCAGAAATGGTAATGTCCGTCTTGTGTGCTTGTAATGCCGCTTTTCTGATTTTAATGATGGAGCATAAAAATATATGGCTAGCGTATGTTATGTACGTCTTGTTTCGGACATCACACATTATAATAGTAACCATAGCAACGTAAGTATTAGAGCATATTTCATATTCGGTGGCAGATGCAATGTTCCATTTCGTTTATCAAAATGATTGGTGGTATTTCAGATGTTAAAATACGCTTCTTCAAAATGTTTTAATGGTTGTATGAAAAATGGTGCTATTGTCACTTGTAAGTTAACACATTAGTTCATAAAAAGCTATATAGTTGTTTTTGATATAGTTGTTTTTGACATTATCCAATTTTAAAAGGCAATGTTGTAGAAAAGTAACCAAAGACTAGTTTTGTCATGGAAATCCAAAGGAGAGAAACTAAGGAGAAAAATATAGGTTATGTCTGTAAACTGAAATCTGATAGCTATCTTTGTTACTTAAGTGTTTGAAGCTAAAGTATGTAGTTCGAAAACGATAAGACAAATCTTAACTAAAACAAGTCAAACATTTGCATTGTATGCAGATTTCTCATTTTAAATGCATAATTATATATCTTTTAGTATACAGGTAACGCTGCATTTAGAAAGACAGTTGTATGCAGTAGTGTTTGGCTGTAATAAAGTTTTTGTCACTTCCCGAAAAAGAGGGCGGTGGTTACATTTTTGGTGGCTGAATAGAGCAGGGGAAATTTGGGCTTGGGGTTGAAAAAAACAGGGAAAAATATACGAAAACCCCAAAAATTTTAGTTACAAACGCATTAAATTTTTTGTTACAATCATACTTATCTTTTGGTTACATTTTGTTATTGCAATTTTTATGTCTTTACTGGATACATGCTAGAAAAAATAGAAACATGTGTGCTAAATGTTACTCTATGGATGCCATAGAAAACACGAACTTATCATGGAATGATAAATAGAAAAAGAAATAATATTTTTAATTGTGCGGTATATAGACGGTGCCATCCCGGCAGTTAATATGCTACATTAATGACTGAAGTCCCCTCATCCGTTCTGTCTTCAAGAAAATTATTTCCTTCAATATCTAGTTTTCTATATTTGTCATATGAAAGAGAGATAAATATTTTGCAACATTTTCAAAACATATATAGCATTTCTTGCACATATGGCTCTTGCTATACTTGAAAGCGCTTTATTTTCTTGATATGTAATAAAAGTGTGGCGCCAATTTGCTTATTGATAATATTAAAATTAGTATCAGTTGTTCGACAAAAAATATTTTGACATATTATTTAAGCGGTCACCGTTTTTTAATTCATAAATCCGCTTAAATTAAGTGCATCACTGTATTTATATAGAAATATAATTATTAAATATGGAATATAATCACAGAGATACGTTTAAACTTTGTATTACAACTCACTGAAAGACTATACAACTGGAGTAATGCTGACAATAGAGTAGCATCTTAGTTGAACCAACATTTAACGGATCTCGGCGTTCGATTTGAGTTCGTTCAACTGTCTGTGGAATGACTTGATTGGTACATTAATAATCGTCGTCTGTCGTCCGTCCGTCGTCAGGCGTCCGTCTTTATTTAGTTCGTTAATCATTTATTTCAATTATCAACAAACTTGGTCAAGATGTTTGTCCACGGCTTCGACCTTGGAGTTATAAACTGGGCCAAAAGATCCCAAAAATAACACTCCAGTGACTACTGTTCGGGTCCAAATATTCTGGACATTTGTCCGAAATGGTGTTCTGATGTTTTATGGGTCAACTGTGGTCAAAGATTAAGTCATACAGCCCAAAAATGTATAAAAAAAACTTATTAAACTCTAGCAATAATATTTCACTATCGTGTCATGGGTCAGAAAGGTTGTTTAGATAGCTTCTAGCTCGAGTTCGAATATTAATCATTTAGAGTAAAAAAAACCAAGTCACACAGCTAAACTGGAAAACAAAATACATGTTAACGCTCTATGAGCTATTGTTTCAGTCCAAATAGCCTGTAAATTTGTCAGAAGGGTGGTTATGATGAATTGTAGCTCAAATTTGAATATGGGTTACTAGTATTTTAGGTCAAAAACTAGATCAAATAGCCCAAATTATGGTAACACTCCTGGGGTAAAATGTTAGCCCACATATCCTGGAAATTGGCGAGAGAGGTAACTATGCAGTTTAAGCTCAACTTTGAATGTTCATTTGTGGTCAAAATTTAGGCCACAGATAACAAACATGGAAAAAATCTCGGCAACACTATAAATGTAATATTTCACATGTTACTTAGCGCTTTCTTGTTTAACATTACAAACGTTTCAATATATAGCGCTCACTTTGTGCCCAAAAAGCAGTAATCTTGTCAGCGAAGTTTACTTTGATATCTAAAACCCTTGTTAACATAAAATTTGCACTTTATCAGATGCAAATATGAACATTATGATACCAGTTTAAGATAAGGACAATATAATCTGATTGTCATTCATAGTTAACAATATTAAATGTTCCTTGTCATCAAGAGCCTTAAAAATCAAGTGAGTGAGATATGGGCCTTCGTGACCCTCTTGTTTAAAGTTATCATCATTCAATTGCTTTTCGTAATATCAAAGAGGATATATATTTTTACTTACAGTTTACTGTGTACGGGGTATACTTTGGTACTATCAGCGTCGTGTTTTTGTTTGCAAATATGATACGATGCTTCGGACAAAACAAAAACAACTATGATGACATTGATTCATCTGAAACACAACTGTGCAGCTATTCTCCCCTCTTACAAAACGTCCGATGAAGTTTTTAGAGAACTGTTCAAATTAAGTCAACCAATAACCTACATATACGAAGTAATATGAACAATACGTACATGTGTGATAAATTATTAGGAATATGTTGTGAACATTTTGTACTTTAATTGTAACTGAGAATGTTTTCATATTATGAAAGAAAGAAGAAATTTAAACGCGGATTTTTGTTTATATAAAAAAAGTGTCACACTTTATGCAGAAACAGTAGGAAAACTATTGTTTTGATTTGTATTAATAGACCTAATAGTTCAATGGACGACGAGACATGTAAAGAATAACCGTTTTGAATTCCGAGGTCATATTAAAGACAAACAACACCTTATTATTTTGATAACGATAACTCTGTCTTAAAGGAGATAAATTTCTTTCAGATTGAACAATGGTATTGCAAGTATAAATCTGTTCTGCATTATGTATTTGAAAGTCCCCTTATTATTCATAACCTCGACATGTGCATGGTCTATATGAAACATATCAGTTATAAAGGAAATCTTGATCTGTTAAAACTGGGACCTTGATCGAGTTGGTATGTTTGTCTTGCTTTCCTTTGATGATTTTAAATGATCATACAGCACAATTATGAATTACGTCTTCAATGTTTGTTGAATAATTATTAAGAACCTTGACCTTTATTTTTTCCCGAAGACTTTGAATTTCAATTTTTGACAATCGACCGTGCTTTTTTAAACTTAAAAGTTTTTCTACTACTTAAACGATGAAAGGGTATTGATTTTGTGATATTTATAATGTATAAAATCAGATACATCTATGCATTTTATTCCATTTTATTTTGTTACGGTCCGAGTATAATAGGGTAGATTACACTCGGAGCACCTCGTCGATTAGCGATTTATAGTAGTTCTACCTTTAAAATAAAGGGTGTAACAAAATGAATGTATAAATCTTTTGGAAAAATTAAAGATAGAAAATTGTTTGCTTGTATTGACATGTGTTACAATAACATAATATTATATGTTTTACATTTATTACTAATAATTAATTAATATTATTCTAATTAACATAACTAATATAAATAAATAAATAATTAAATAAATAAATAAATAATGATAATAATAATAATAATAATGATAATAAATCTGCACCCGACTCTATGGACCTATATATAGCTATAAGTCATCTTAATTAATTTTAACTTACTGTAAGTTAACTTTAATACAATATAGTAATGAAATAAACATACTCAATAAATGCAAGCAATTGATATGAAGGAGCAAACAAGTTCCGGTTTCGTGCAAGAATGATATGTTAGTTTTGATAGTGTGAAAGCGGCATATGTGCATGCGATTTGCGCTACAGGAACTTGATTATCGTAATTCATGACTGAAACCCACTGTGACTTTAAACAAACAGTGATTTTATCAAACGAAAAAATCACCGATTTGGAAATACTATTTCGATTCTTTCTCGACATTAACAAAAAATGCTGCCATACAGTAGATATTAAGCTAAATTGAGCCTGGTTTGTTTACGTACTCATTTGAGCGCGTCGCATTTTTAGTGGATACGTCCAATGTATATAATGATTGCGTCACATGTCTAAATATAGAACGTCAACAGTAATTTTATTGCATAATAACACACACTTTCGGTTCTTCTATGTTAAATTGGGACAATTGCGGGTCTTGTTATAATAATCCATAAAGCACGGGGGATGGCTAGTCAATGAGACCACTAGATGCATGTATGGCAGATGCTTTTTAGCCGTTTTGCAGGTTTGGCGATTTTGACTGCGTCTGCTTGTAGATAATTCTACGTATTTTACATATTCAGTAGCCCATCATGACCTCATATTTCTTTATCCGATTTCGTATTAAGTTAGCAAGTGAGTATTCATATGACGACATATTAAGACAGGGGAAAATAGCCCAAGAAACGTGACTGTCAATACGTCCGCTTAATTTTGCGATGTCTAGTGTGTTTGTTCAAAATAAGTTGCCAAAAATCCAGTGCAATAGCTTGGGGACTAAACGACCCGCAAATATGTGGAATTGGGCGCTAGTCTAAGAAACAAGGCGTGATAAGGGCGTTTCATCCGATGCGGCAATTGTATCTGCAAATACATAACTTCTCGTATTTTCGGGAAAAAAAGCAGATCATAAAATTTATTTTCAATTTCGAACTAGGTGCTTGCATGTCATTGTTGACAACGCAAATTTAAGGCGTTCTACGGATATAAAAATATGCAGACACATATAAATTCGTATGATTTCTTTAATATTGTCTAAATATAAATCAAACTACTCAATGTTAACTATCACTGTGATCACTTTTCTAACATAATCCTTTATACAACTTGTCGCAAGAACTGTTTTACGCTTGACATTCTGAAATGAAAAGAAAAGTTTTAATTAAGAAAAAATCAAGAACATTTCCTCACTCGGCATTGTTGATATGTTGATATGTGTATGACACCGAAAACTCAACAATCAATCAAACATAGTTATATGTTATCTAACTCTGTTTTAATAAAGCTAGAAAATAGGAATGCTGAGAGTAATTTCGAGACATAAGTTGGTCTAACACCAAATGGTTGGATATGAACAAGAATAAATTAGTATATGAAGATAGTGTGGCAAAGGGTAGGTTTTCTATAAATTGTATGGAACGAAACGATTACAATTATATTAAGCGAGCATCTCGCGAGCATGATAATATTAACACTCGTTGATATTTTTATCATTAGATTAAGTCATAAACTATGCGAATGCTATGTCTTAATTGTCACAGTCGCACAGCTGAACATACTTTTTAAAAATAATCTAAGCTTGACTTGACGTCCATGGATTATTGTTGTTATGGGGTCACAAACACATGTATGTTACAAAGGCGCTTTTGGCAACATCCAGACGTTTAAACAACTTACCAGTGCCTAACCATTTGAACTTCACCCTTGGATCTGCGAAAGTGAGGTTGAAGTTGATTAACAGATCTGCTGATATTAGTTCCCAAGGCAATCCATTAAGTTCAATTACAGAATTATCAGCTCCTGAAATGATATTTACAGGAAAAAAAAAGAATAACACAAGTTTCTGTTTAACTTTTTATTTGAATTTTAGACTTACACATCTGTTTCTTTTTGCTTACTTCACCTGCTTTATATATTTGTAATAATCAATTAAATTTAATATTTATCATTATTGAGTGAATGATAAGGAACAATTATTTCAAACAGTATTTTCCAAAATGAATAAAATCTTTTATCAACATGTGGCTATAATTAACTTTACTCAATATCTTAAAAGTTCCTATGTGCCATCGCAATGTCTTTCAAATCAAAATAGTTTAAATATACAAGTATGAGTGTACGAGCGTATATACGTAGTGTCCATTTTGCAACGAATGCTTTCAAAACTGCAACACTGCATGTAAAAAGTATATAAACGCCATCATAATAGGATCCAATCTTAACAATTGTGCATCGTGTTCATTTGCCCAGCCCAAAATCTATTTCAATTCATTATTACACACCGGCTGACCTCGTTTCATGTTTATACCATCAAATCCAAATTGTACTCGCAGCAGCAAAGTGTCTTAATATCATGGACGTAATGTGTGGAAAAAAGAGGGCAATATACATTGTTAAATGCAATATTGATTCTTCTGTCTCGTGCACAGCTGCACAAGCTATTTGAGATCGGCTATTGTCTCGTTTAATGTAGCTTTGACATCTTTGTTTCCGTTATTAAACAATTAATATTGTACTCAGCAGTTTATCAACACCATCAACTGTGTTCACACTTTCTTTGATATATTAAATGAAAACCAGTGAACAATTAGGACCAATTAAAAGGATATTGGATACGATCTTATCAATTTACTTTCGTTTTGAGTTTTCAAGTACAGGAATATATTTAAATTCCGTATTATACTCCTATAGCTTCTCTTTAAAATCTGAACACAACAAATATCCATCGATTGATAACTCGAATCATTACAGGTCTGTCAAAATGTAAGACTAAGGTTGTGTGTGATAAAAAAGCAAAGAAACGTTGCAAACAATATCGATAACGTATAAAAGAATAGCCTTGTGCATTATCCAATAAAGGTTTTAAAGTTACATACTCGTTCAATATAATTTTTTCAGTATTGTACTCGAAAATATTGGCAACCTTATATAATCATTTGTTAAAATTGGAAAATTTATGCATGCCCTAGCTTAACAGATCCAATGAGCGTTTTCTTCACTGAAACGAATGTGATTTAAGAAAAATTGCAAAGCAGACCGAATGTGTCCGTGCTATTGTTTGAAGGTTTATTTAAATGGTAAACAAATCAACTATACACACCTGAAAATCGCTTCTCGCTAACGTTCAGGTCCAAATAACCCAAAGTACAATTATTATCCTCATCGAATACATAGCAACCAAAGAACCAGAAATATGTTCCGAGATCCTGGCTATAGAACTTCAGTTCAGTTTTGGAATTCTTTACTGCATGAAATAAAAATGTCATATAATTTTGTCAAATATGAACACATTTTCATTATGTTCTTTTTTTTGTTCTTTTTCTTTTTCAATAAGTAAAAATATGGATTTAAATTAACAATTTATGAAATAGTAGAATATTGCTTATTTCCAAAGAGTTGCAATACGAAATCACAAAACAATTGTAGGTAGTGGGCGAAATTATTCAATTTTATAAGTAATAGAAAGAGCTATCTGATTTGTATGAGGGGGGGGGGGGGGGGGGGCTGTTGGGCGTAACCCCGAGTATTAATTAGATTACCGAGTGTTTTGATGTTATTTCTCTTTTGTATCATAGTCAAACATAAAAACACGTTCCCTGTTGTAACAATATGAAACCCCGGGAAAAAGTAACCAATGAACGAGCATTTGAATAGTATGATATTTCTGTCGCTTTTCCTTTCCCTTTTGTCACAATAAGTAAAGCCAAGCATAAAATGAGCCAATCAAAGGACAAGCACTGGAGTGCGGATAACTAATACCTGCACTCTAGTTAACGCACTGTGCATGTATATGTATACGATTTAACTCTGACATATTTTTAAACAGAAAGGTCACAAAACTATGATTCAAGTCTACATAATTCACTGAGGAGAACAGAAGGTAATCGTCACAAAAGGGTAAACATTTTTTAAATCCATGGCTTTCAAATTAGTCCACGTGTCCCACAAATGTGAGTCTTTTATTATTCCAAGTAAATCCGTACACATTGCATTATTGTACGAAAGCAAAAATTGAAATTGAATTAATTAATTCATTCATTCATTCATAATACCTAATAATATATGTGTTTAATTTCTTTATTTATCCCTTTTTCTATGTTGCTAGAAAAAAAATCATACACAATCTGATATGGTTACCCTTTTTGTTACTATCCAATATATATCGGTTCAAACAAAATATTTTGATATATAAGTAAATATATACTTACGTCCTTGTTCAGTTGCCCGGCCACAATTATCTTCAGTTATTCTCATTTCGGCGTCAAATCTTTGGCATTGGTTTGTATTGATATTGCTGCAGCACATGAATTAATACTTGCACAATAAACATTGGACTGATGCATATACATTCATATTCTAACTATTAATAATTTGTACCTTTATGCAATTTTATTCATATTTCACAACGTATATCCAGTAACGGTGAAAGTGCAAATAACTTAGAAATTTTGAAATGAAAACACGGACTTGCGCAATGTATAGCTTTGCCCTGGACGAAACGAGCACAACCGTAAATAAATAATATTATAATAAGTTTACTGTCCTATCTTAACCAATTATATTTGTTATATATGTATTGTATGATTACAAGGATTTTACTAACCCCCGTAAAAACACACAAATAGCACTTTAATTTCTGAATGCATTCACAGGTTCTACTTCACAAGTCTATCAATACTTGTCCAGTTGTAGTTAGACACATTATAGAAGGTTCTTAGTTCTTCTAGTAACAGCAAAAACAATTAACTAATAGAATATAATTATCATAAGGTTCTTTTTGATAGTCTGAAAATGAGATACACTATATCCAATGTTGAGAATATACAAGAAGAAAAGAAGATGAAAACGGAATCCTTAAAGAACGTCCAAATGCAGTAAATTTGATTGAAGTTATTAAACCTGTTCATAGTCGGTACTTGAATGTGCAAGCAACGTCCACATCCCATCCCCTCACCGTCATATTAAGTAGAATGCAACATTTTATTTAAAGATCCTGTATGTTTTGTGATTGATATTGTTACTGTGTGTATACCACACTTGCAAAAATTATATATGTATATAATTATGAAAATAAAACAATTTTCAAACATTAAAGAATATGTAAAATGTGTACTGCAAATATTTGTGCACATTATATTTAATCAATAAAGTATATGCACTCATTTCTTATTGGAAAATTTGACTTAGAATATATAGAAAATAAATTTCTAATTACCTCCCTTTATTTACATGAAATGTTAAATTCGGTAATATCTTTATAAATAATGCTTATTGGAACTTACAATATTGACAAATCTTAATTTGAGCATCATATTTATGAAATAAAACTATGAAAAAATGTGTTACATGATCTTTAAACATGATAGTGATGACCTGTTTGAATAAGCAGATTTGGTAATCATGGAACCGTCAATGTGACACATCCAAATAGAGAAAAAACGAATACAAAAAGCTGCATATTTGTAAATGTTACTTACTTAAAATGAAAAGCAAACAGTATTAGATGTTTAAACAACATTAAAAAAAGATGTAACTGTTCAAGGTCTATCCACAATTAATTAAAAACATTGAAAAAGATAGAAAAATCGTATGCTCAGCATGTTCATATTTGTCTCACATTTATTAAAAATTTTACTTACAAACAATTTGTTTTCCTTTGAAATTTGTCGTTATTTTCTGGTGAATACCATCTATGCTGACATTTACCATAACTATGTGGAGAGTTTAGCTCATAACCGTAAATAACAAACCAGGTATGGTCAGGCTTTAAAATCTTGAAAAATAATATTACGATAACAGAAACAGCAATTATAGAAAGTATTTTCCTATAAAATGCACTTATGTAGACTTTTAAAGCTTTACAAGATTGTTTAAGTAAACAAAAATGAACAGTAGATAAAATTAGGAATAAATTTGGCTCTTTTTTAGGTGGAAAAATAAAAGATAAATAAAAAAGTAAAAACGATACAATTAATTAAAGAATGACAGTTAAAAAGTCAGTTGCCTTTTATCCTACTACTTAATTTTCATACAATTAAATATCAAACATACTTTTGAACTCCAATCGGCTTTTGATACCATGTCTGTTTTCGTTTTAAACCGGCTACAATAAGTAGGTTGTTTGCATTCATCAGTTTGCGCATTTTGAGAACAGAGGCTGACAGTGCAAGTAAAAAGGAAAACACATATCCGTAGTAGTTTGTTCATTATCTGAAGATAAAGATGAAACTTTTCATTAGCATTTAATTTAGCTAAATTTTGCATTTTGGGGTAATTTTGTCTATCTCAGCGATGTTGTTGCTGTTTTATTTACTTTGGACTTTGTAATTTATACTTGTAATAATTCTTTTTGTTTGGTTTGATCGTTTCACCAACACAATAAAGGTCATAGGCGACTAATCAGCTTTTCTGAAGATCTAGCTAAAGGTGCCCTTCCGTGCGTTGATTCAATCATGGTCGGGCAGCAGAATAGACAAATCGACGTTCCTAAACCGGTTTGGTAGCTTCCTGACGGAATTAGTTAGGGGCGAGTGGTTTGAAGTCGGCGGCCTAAGCAACACGGCAACGGACACCCCTGTGTACATGTATATGTAAAATAGTCATCCCAAACTATGAAATCGGGATATGATTTTGTCATGACTTTGTACGTCCGTCATTTCCCCATCACTTTATTTCTTGTCAACTCAATGAAACTTTCTCTAAACATTCAATACCGAAAGGAGATTAAATTTCATTTGTATTATCCCGTCTGACCATTCAACTAGTAAGAGAAACGGTCCCTGATTAGGTATCCAGTATATATATATATAAAGAGTACGGCAATTGCTTATTTGATTTCAACAAACTAATATCATGATAATTGTAAACCATCAATACCAAAAGCAGATACACAAATCTTCATTTTGAAGCCTTTATTTACCTTGTGTTATCAATCGATCAAGATGAAGTAATTAACGAACACATGTTGAAGTACAGAAACAATTGTTATACAGCGTTATACTATCGATCAAGTTTTAAGGGAATTGTGATAAAGTAAAGAGCCGTTTAAAACAATAGACAATAAACCATATATTTTAATCCAGGCAATCTGTTTCTACATTCTTAACCATAGAGTTTTGTGAACAAAATCTGCATCCGCATTAATTGAAATCCATAACGTCTAATGAACACTCTCTGTTTCATTGTGATCATCACATAATCTATTGAACATACTTTTTAACCTTTTACGATAAAATTGTAAAGGTAATTTTACTTATTTAGAAAACAAATTAGTACGTGGTCCGAACGATTAAAAAAAAGAAAAGAAAGCAAGAAGCAAAAAAAAAGAAAAGAAAAAAAAGAACGACAACGACAACAAATAAACCCGAATCGAATACATAACACATAATGCTGCCTTAGACCTATATCGCACAAAATATATTTGAAGTTATATGTGAAAAGACAGAGTTGGATCATTTTCCTAACACAAAACCTAGAAACATATTCCGTAAAATGAACCAAAAAACCTATGTTATTTATATCAAAATATATCTGATAAAAACTTTTACTTGAAACAAAAAATGCACTTTTATTCAGTTCTATTCATATAAGTTATACTCCAAGGCTGAATAAATTAATTTATTATAACATTTGTGTATAAGCAAGTGACCATATGCATACAAAATAAAGTTCTAGTACTATGGTTTAAAATGCACTTTTAATTTAGAATTTCCCTTTTCGCAAGACAATTTTATAAAGTTAAACGATGTACTAGCCACATAACCCGTCGACAAATGTTAAAGTTATTTAGGTTTGCTGAATGCCGAGCATTTTATTCATTTTCAATTGTATAGCTTTTATCTATTTATTTATTTATCTATTTTCATTCAAAGCCTGTAATTCTATGGCAAATGTGTTCTTTATGATTCATCATTCAATATTTAATTAATGTTAACTGACGAAGAAAAAAATAATCAAAAATTACACTGACCCTAACCAAAAGAACCAAAACAAATACAAAAACAAAACAGTGTAACATCTCGCTTGTTTTGAACGAAAAAGTTATTCTGTATCCTATATTATAATATCATTTAAAAATAATATAAGTATCTAAACAAGTTTGATGACATTGCTCTACAAAACTAGTAGGAATGAAAAAGAGGAAAAGACAACACTTACAATTCTCTTTTAGCAAAGCAATATATTCCTGTCTATGTAAAACTGTATGGAAACACGAGGAAAATCTGTATTTATATCAAATGTATTTATGTCAAAAGGTGGCGGATTTATTGAAAAAAAAGTGTGAAAAAGCTGTTAAACTAATTTTTAAATATACACGACTTTAATGAAAGCATATAATCTGAAAATTAACAAGAAAAAGGTTGTTTTAAAGTAATTTTTGAAGATATTAATGTATGTTGCTTCAATTCTGCTTCGATCAATAATTGAAGTTGTTACGGATAGAACTTTACATGAAATCAATATTGACGTAACGTAATGTACGAAATGTGAAATCAAACGTCCAGTTCCATTGCTGAATACATAACGTACATGTAATGACAGGGTGCCCTCCAACCGCTAAATAACTGGCCCAAAAAAGGAGATGTACAAACTAAACTGAATGCCATATGCAATGGGTCATTTCGATTGCGTTGATGTACTTAAATTGTAAACTCATAATCTGTAAAATTCAACATTAATTTTGTGAAATGTATTTGTTATGTATTTGTTTATTGTTGTTTTTTTGTTATTGTTTTACACCATTTTTATACCTACAGTTTGTATGCCATTATGTTGTAATAATTATAAATCATGTATATACGTCAAATTATTGGTATACGAAATTTGTATATTAAATGATATTATTTTTATGGTTTAAAGAGCCTGTTTGTCAGATCAGTCAAATATGTTCGTTGTTTTTCAATTGACTAACTGTAAATGTCGTCTTTTAAGATACATTTTTTTTATTATTTCTTTTTTAAATATACAATTATTGTTTAGAAGGCTACAATCAAAATAACGTATGGGATTTGTTATGTACTATGCCATATACGTAACTTTCTTCAAATCAAATTTGTATTGCTTTTTCCATCTAGTATTATCAGAAAATGGCAAACAGTTAAGTGAAAGTGATTAAGTTTTAAATGGGCTCCACACGGCTTTTAAATGTATACAAAGAAAAGTATAAAAAATGTGACGCAAAATGAAAATATGTTGCAAAAAAGGAAAAGCTACAGTACAAAACTATTGCACTATTAAAGATGCAGCATTTGCATTAAATGCTCTTGTACATAAGATTTAAATATACGTTTGCATTGTTGTATGGTGGATATTAAAAGAACATTTGGTGGTGTGTATTAAAACGGTATATGGCTACAATTGCATAAATTAGGTATTGATACAAAACTATTTAGAATATTTAGAGACATGTATTCACAAGTTAAGGTTTGTTATGTATCAAATGCTGTAACTCATATTCTAACTATTTTGACTTTGCTGTAGGTTTAAAACAAGGAGGGGTTATGTGCCCTTTATTGTTCTGATTATCTGTTGATGATCTTGAGCTATTTTTACAAAGCGTGCATGACAGTGATTTAACCTTAGATAATATATATTTCATTCTAATGCTTTATGCAGACGACATGGTTATTTTAAGTGACAACGTTTGCGATCTTGAAAATAGTCTAGATTTATTTTATACATACTATAACATATGGGGCCAGGGGCCTAGAAGTAAATACCATCAAAACATAAAAAAATAGTTGTTTTTAGGAAAAGAGGTCCCATAAAGCAAAACAAGCATTGAACATATAATCATTTTATGATAAAACTAGAAATAGCTGATATTTTAATTACCTCTGGATTGTTTTCAACTATACCCCTACATTTATATTTAACCAAGAAACGTTGGCTGGCAAAGGCCTTTTGGGCTCTTAATATGTTGATGCATAATATAAATGGATTCAATCTTAAACCTCGTGTTATATGCCAACTTTTTGATGCTTTTGTCTCAGCTCCTCCAAATCATGACTGTGAAATTTTGGGATTCAGTAAGTCAAAAGAAATTGAACGGATTCATCTAAAGTTTGCAAAAGTTATTGAATGTCAAATCTTGTAGTTCAAATGTGGGTGTGTATGATAAAATTAGAACGCTACCAGCTTTACATTAGCAGATCTGTACGCATTATTTAATTATGGTGTAACATTGTATCGACAACAAATATATTATCAAACAGATTATATGATTATTTACAAAATTTAATGCGATGCTATCAAAAATAAAAGGACATATCATGTTTAAAGTCTGTTGGACTGCTATGTTTTTTTATAAGTTTGGAACAATCCATTTTGTGTTGATCTAGGTAAATTTCATCTACTTTTAAAGATTAGCTATTTGATTCCTTTGAAGCAAAACTGGTTCCAACGATTGCAGGAATGTGGATCATTACATATGTATAAGCAATTTAAAACATAGCGTAGATTCATCAAAATTAAGATTACCTTCACATTACAAAAAAAAATATAGGGTTAACTTCACATAAACTGGCTGTTGAAACTGGACCAAAGTGGAACAAAATAAGAGCATTGTTTTTTTTTTGCCAAAACAGAGATATTGAAGATGAATACCATTTTGTTTTATCATGTCCGTTGTACGAACAGTTTCAAAAACAATATATTAAAGCCTATTTTTAAGAATATTAAATGTTCTAAAGTTTACAGTGCTCTTTAAGAGTAAAAATCAAGCTACAATAGTAACCTTTCCAACTTTATTTACAATGCTTTATACATAGGTGAGGTAGCTCTCCAGCTAGCTAACTAACAGAACGTCGGTGTTCTTACTCAGGTGCCCGTTCGTACCTGAAATAATGCACGGAAGGGCACCTGAGGTCTTCCTCCACAAGTAAAGCTGGAACGTCACAATATGACCTATATTGTGTCGGTGTGACGTATAGCCAAAAACAAACAAACAAATCCACAAACAATAGGTTGCTAATGTTAAGTGCGTTCACTGTTCGTTAAATCACACGATAAAATTATGGAATGTGTGTATGATTTACAAATGTATGACAAACAACTGTACTGTTTATCTATCTATCTACTAGTAAGATACACGTGTCTTTGAAACGACCCTCGTTTATTGGGATGTGATGCATACACTACGTGAAAAATCTCATTTTTATCTATTATGTACCTATGTCGACATATACCAGGTGATACAAGAAATGTACATTAAACGAACATGAAATATGACCTGATTACGTGTTTTAATCAGAAAAAATCTTTATCACATCTATATATTATAATCATTGTTTACTGAATATATGTTAACACGTTTGCTTTGGCAAATGATAAATTATGTATTTTTCTGTCTGTCAAGTAAAGTCTAATTCTAAATCAGTTAATATCTTGATCAATATTTTGCAGGTAATGTATAAACACAATGATCATTGTTCAGCATTGATATCTATCACACATTTCTCTGACACCATTCATGCAACATGGTACCATGATAAAAGTTGTGTGCAGTATCGATTGAGTTTAGTAGGTTAGTGTGTTACAAGATGTTGTATCTCACACAAGCACCATTCCCTTACAAAGAACATATTATGACAGAATTAATATTAAAAAGCCATCAACATCAGTTATAAATCTGAGGATTTTAAACGTTTTCACATGTTACTCCTTATTGATATACTACATATAATAATGCAATCTATATCTTTTATCTTAAAGTCCTACTGCAATACTTAGGTGAAATCCAAGGGTTCAAAAGATTTAAACCTTAAATATGAGAACAAAATAAACAAATCAGGGGAAGCTCACAGAACTCATCCCCCGGACACAACTCGGATACAGATGTGGCAGAATACGCAACTATGCAGAACTACTGTGAAATAAATATCGCTCGTTTGCAATGGACCACTAGAAAATCTATGCGATTGGTTAAGTTGTTGTGTCAACTATGGACTTAATTGTTCAAATACACTAATTTTATGACAATATAGCATTGCTCCTTGAACAAATACCAACCTTTGGGCAAGAAGTTCGTTCCATCTGAAACGAGCCTTAGGGCTCAACCTCGGTGTTGTTTTTTTCAATCAATTACTCTTATAACCGAATGTATTTTGTCGCTTATGCTCTAATAACAATAGCCAAATATAACATCAGATGGAGTTCAGAATGTTGTTAACATTTGTTAA